TAAAATCGATTTTAAGTCCCTGCTTGTGCCTGGACATACTGCCCTTCAGGGACTTGAAATTGATTTCAAGTGAAGCCCCTGGCTGACTACAGCACCCCCTCCGAGCATGACTTGAAATCGATTTTAAGTCAAATCTGATATCAAAATCCAGACTCATCCTTATCCCAAAGATTAGTGCACCTGCCTGCTTGCCAGCAGGCTGCCTGTATGGAGTGTAAAGAAGGCAGTTGCGGTATGGGTTTGCGATGCGAGGAGCCCGAAGATGCACTCGCACCCCACCAAAGGGGCCCTCAAAAGAAGAAGAAGAAGAAGAACTTCTCTAAAGGTAGAACTTCTGCGGCGCCTGTTGTACCACAGATGCCGTCCAACTCAGAATTTCCCAGGAAGGGACCATCCGTCAAGGAGCCAGCGGCCAGACGCATCCTCGGCGCCTCGAGCGTCGTGTCTGTGGCCCCTCCCCGACGAGGGTGAAAAAGTAGTTGCGTATGGCTTTGCGATGCGTGGAGCCCGAAGACACACACGCACCCCCCGAAAAGGCCCTCAAAAGAAGAAGAAGAAGAAGAACTTCTCTAAAGGTAGAACTTCTGCAGCACCTGTTGTATCACAGATGCCATCCACCTCAAAATTTCCCATAGAGGGACCCTGCATCAAGGAGCCAGCAGCTGTATGAGGGATTTCAGAGCAGCTAGCCATCCATGAGCAAGAGAAAGATCTCTTGCACTTCGCCCATGCCTGGAGGAAGTAGCATCAAACAAATTAGCATCACCTTCATAGTAAGGCGAGTCCAAACAAATTCCCGAACGGGCTTGGAAGCCCCATCACATGGAAGCAGCACAGCTCTGTATAGCCGCACTCATCCACAATGCGGAAACCGCAAAATTTGCACACCTCACTCGGATGACAGTTGCCACCCACTGTAACCTCCTCTTTGCAAGCCAGAGCACCAAACCGGTGGACCAAGCTGCAAATGACCGCGTCGCGCACCATCCTCCATAGTGCAGGGATTCCATGCCATTTACGCATGTGCTAGGGATCCAAATAGCCCAAAGTAGGGGATTTAGGGTTTAGGGTACGCACTAATTATGGATTTGGGGGGCCAAAGTAAGTATTACTTGTAGACTCCGGAGTCCGAAGTTTGTTTGCTTGTGTATGGACTATGGATTTTGACGGTGTCCACCCACCCCCGCTGAGCAATAGGTGTGGGTTGCACCTCACCGAATCTCCCTAATGAGCTGGCCACTTCAACACCAACTCTGGCGATGTAGGTAAAACACCGATCGCGGTAATTTATGCACAGGTCGATTCCCGCCACAAACACGGCTAGCCGCACCCACCTCGCTTGCCTTCACAGGTGCACCTAGGCGGCTGGGCTGCGAAGAGCCCTGAGCCTACATGCGACAGCGAGAAGAGAAAGTCAAGGCACAATGGAACCACAGCGCAATTACCAAATCCATTCAGTTTTCAAAGCACGGGCAAATTGTTCCCAAAGCAAGCTTTGCAGACCCTGAACGTGTATACCAGACCGTAGCTGTGTATGTGGCACCTTATTCTTCTGGCAGAAATTCCACTTTGCATGTCTGGCCACCCATATAACTCATCATCGGGGAGCATGGTCCCTGTGCCACAGGATTGTAGTTAACTTGGTGTGCACGTGACGTGCGATGGTGAGAGAGGTGTTGCCAGCTGTCCACGCGAGTTCTACGTGGTGCCGAGGTGTTGGTGCTGTTGCCGCCAGCCAAGCGATTAAGGCCCTGGTAGTGGCACGGAAGTTGGTTGGCTGCACAGACGTGATATCTTGAGATGTTGTGTATGTCCTGGCACCAGGGGTATTTGCACACAGGGCTGTTTGAAGAAGATGGCGCTGTTGCAGGAGAGGTAGTTCCGTGAAGGGGGCACAACGAACCAGAGAAGCTAGGTATGTGCAGCGGGCTCATCCCGGAGAAGATCTTCTTATTTGTCCACGCGAGGAAGCAAAGGCAGATAACAGCATGGCAGCTCGGCATCAGATGTGCTGCAGTCTGGCTGCAGTGCTTCTCACAAAAGGGAAGTGCCACAATGACCTGCAAGTGCTTCTCACAAAAGGAAAGTAGCACCATGACTTGCAGCTCCATCTAAGGCGCGAACGGCATCACCAGGACAGGATGCAATGCAGATGGTTCTGGCGCCTTGGATGTTTCAGATAAGAGTTCGGCCAGCCGAGATTCGCATGCCTAGAATGCCTTGGAAACTATGTCAGTGCTGGTTGGGCTGTAAAATGTCAGGCCTGCCGACGACGGCCAGCAGAAAGCACTTCCAAGCGCTGAGAGAGAGATGTGGAGAAAAGTAGGGAAGCGCGTTTCGGCCGTGAGTGTCTTAGCCAGCATGCCCTAAACAAATCGAATTGATCGACCAGCGCTGGATTCACTGGGGTTAGCGGCTGTCGGGAGCTGAGGCTAGCTGCAGCTGCGGCTGATGGAACGGTGTTAATTCGCAGTGTATGGAACCCAGCGTTCTTACATCAGCCAGCGTCTTTGTGACAGTGCTCTTCAAGGCAAGATCAGAGCGAAGCCGGCAAGACTCGCCCAAGAGCAGCCTTGGCGGTGTCAACCACATCTCCGATGTTCAGCCGATTGCTGTGGTCACAGTGACCGCAGCAGCCACGACGGTGCAGCCGGCCACAACGGCCATCATTACCAGACCTCAACTTACTGTGAGCCCGACACTTAGCCCCTTCACCCAGCCCAGCAGACAAAAGTCATCCGCTGCCACGGCTCGACCAACCCTGATCCCGCAAACTCTTACTAAGAGCCGGGGCACTTCGCTGAAGACGGCCCGTACACAAATGAGCAAGGCCAAGGCCCTGAAGAAGAAAAGGTCATTGTCCCGGAACAGAACAGCCACAGTGAGGAAGGCAAGTGGCTCAGCCAACGAGTCCAACAGCGCAGACGGGGATGCAGCTAACGCCTCGGAGGGTGGGCGCCTCAGAGACCCCTGTAGCGCTCCCACATCTCTTTGCATGCGGCTTCACTATGCCGAAGAACGCATAAAAAATCATAAAAATGCACAATAACAATCTCGCTGCTTGTTTCTTCTCCTGTCAGTCTGGTCTGAAAAAGGACCTTCGTCTTGCTTCGATTTGTTGCTGTGTGGTTGCCACTGTAAGGATTCCATTGCGGCTTCTACAGGTCTAAGATCTATTGAGGATTCACGCTTTCGAGGGGATTTTAAAGCATGTTTACAACGAATTCTAGTATTCTACAAGTACCAAAAAACTCGAGCAACGGCGAGGAGCAGGCCTTTGTCATTGCCATTGTTATTGCCATTTCAATAGTTGCGATTGTTAGTACTATCGTTCATTACTAACTACAGTGATCGTTTTATATAGGGTTGTCCGCAACTCGGTGCACAAGTTTTTAGTAAAGACGACCGCGAGCTGGCTTAGAAGGCTTTCTGCGAGTTTGCGATGGTGTTCGCGAAAGGAGTCAGGGATTTCGTGAAAGCATCGTAGGCCATGCTTCCTTACATCAGGTCAAATGCATTTCCCTGCCAGTATTCTGATGAAGGTATCCCCCAAATACACAAAAGATGTGAAGCAGGTGGTCTGTCTAAGAACTGTTACCCGATCGCGAAAGATCCGCAAAAGATCGCGCAAGCTGAGCATGCGGCTAGTCTTGCAAGCCATGGGAGATCATACAGCTTCTACGTTCGATGATTGGTTTCTGTTTCAAACCATAATGGTGGCAATTATCAACGTCAACATCGCTGCCAGATTTTTAGTGTTACCATTCTTGCAATTCTAGAGCTATTCCTGTTTTTGCTGCTTCTGTTGTTGTTGTTGTTGTTGTTGTTGTTGCTACTGCCGCTATTACTGACGTGGTTACTCATGCTGTCAACGTGACCACTGCAAACACTGCTTCCGCAATCGTCACTACCACGGATAGTTCTCTCTTTTGCAGTCGTGGCTACCACGAATAGTTCTCTAGCCATTGCCAGTACTACAACGACGACCACGACCGCCGCCGCCATGACGACAACGATGACAACGACGACGACTACTACTGCTATTTCTGCTATTTCTGCTATTTCTGCTATTTCTGCTGTTTCTGCTGCTGCTGCTACTTGTTTGCTACCCTGGCAAAACCCGAATTTTAATCTTAAAGCATCAGAATTCCGGAATGCCAGCATTCGAGAAATTTTGGAATCTGGAGTTCTGGAAGTCTGGAAATCGGGGCTCCTTGCATTCTGGAAATAAATCAGGTGATCTCAACTGGTAAAAATAGTGGAGTATTGGAATACCGAAAGAATTCATAAGCCCGGGAGTTGCGTTTGCTGTTCGGTTCTAGGCGTGTAGAGTGACAATGGGCCTCCATCCCCAAAGAACTTGCCTTGACAGGCCAGTTTCATGCTTATGCAAGCCAAAGGTCATCGAAACGCAAACAACAGCCATTCATGTAAACTTTGAAAAGTCCCCGGAAATTTGCTCTGCAGACTTATGCTGGATTTGGAATAATCTTTGAGTTGCAGCCTTAATATGGTAATATGGTTTCCACATAATCAGCCACCTCACACACGTGGGGTGACTGCGCTAGCCGCGTTTAGCTCCCAGGTACCGCTCAAGCCATCCTTGCGATTCTCCTCCATAGGCCGATTAGAATGAACAGCTTGAACACTCATTGCATCCAGCATCATATATGCCGACCCTGTGTAGCTTAGGAAAGAAAGATCCGAATAAACTTGTTCCATAAACCGGTCGTCATCCGTATACCACACTTGAACAGTCCTGTTTCAATCCCGAAGCTGCAGCAGACGGCTCTCATATGTGTTGGATGAAAGAAACCAGCAGGCCTTGTCTCTCTATGAGACAAACATCACAAAGAACGTGTACTCGGAAAAGTAGCAAAGCGGTCCCCCTAGTCCTCGATTGCCGATGTCCCTAGCCACAATTTTTAAGCAGAATCTCTGATGATGTGAGGCCCGGTGCACAGTTTGTGGACACTACAAAATGTCTACCATGCCAGACTATACAAGGACCATTATCTCTTGAACGTTTAATGACAAGTAGTGTTAGGATCTCATGACAGATCTCTGCTGAAAGTTTCCATCACGCAAACTCGGAAATCCTTATTAAGAGTTTTAGTTGGTGCTCCTAACCAGGAGTTGTTCATAGACTTTTCTTGTGGGTCCTTCATTATTGCGAATCTTGATTGAGATGACTATTTCAATTGGGCTCTCATTAAGGATCTTGCTCAAAATCCTTGGCCTAGGTCCTCATTGTTAGGATCCATATTCAAAATCCTCATCAGAGGTCCGAATAGCAATTCTGCTTGTGTCAAGAGATCCTCCTACTCAAGTTTCATTGGGACTTTGTTAGTGAGCTTTTGAATGCTTCTTACTGGCTATGGATCCAGGTTTCACATCAAGTTCTCATGGAAGACTATATTATATCTAAGATCCTTATCAGAGGTCCTTGTTAGAGCCTTACTCAAAAGTCCACCTCATGGATTTCATTAGGGATCCTGAGTGAGACGCCCCGCTGAGGCTGCATGCCGGGGCATTTGATTCGTGATCGTCATGTGAGCAGGGATTTGTATGAGTGCATCTTAATCGGCATGTTCTTTAGGGAGGTCCTTATTTCAAATACCCATCCGGAATCCGCACTCCTTGCGGGGATGCTGTCTAAGATGAAGCTTATCAAGCTTCATTCTGAGGAATTGCAATCCCTTGTTATGGGTGCGCTTGACGCAGGTTATTGTTTGAGATCCTGATTGGCTTGGGACTTCCTCGTGTGTTTTGGTTGAGGCTGTTTAGGGTCAGTGTGGTTGCTACTAGAGTTTTAGGGATTAGGGTAGGGCTGGGCTTTTACTGATCCCATCTGCAGCATGTAGGGTTGACGGTCTGCAAGTTTTGGAGCGTGAGGGATGCGTTTTATTCAGGGTTGCATTATTGCAGGCTTCGGTTCCTTACAGTCCTGGGCTTCTAGTTTAGGGTTTAGGGTGCAGAGTGTTTTATGTTTTGAGGCGGGATGTGTAGGGGTCAGAGTCTTGTGCGGGACAAGCTTTTTCAAGTGGTTTTTGCCTGCGCGGATTAGCCCTTTCATGGTCTGAAATTCGTGGTCGTCGTAATCGTTGTCGCTGTCATTGTCCTGGTGGTGGTGGTGGTGGTGGTGGTGGTGGTGGTGGTGGTGGTGGTTGGTGCTGGTGCTTTCGCTGATGGTGGGGGTGGGGTTGGGGGTTGGGGGTTGGGGCTGGCGTGGCGGTGGCGGTGGCGTCGGCGGCGGCGGTGGTGGTGGTGGTGTTGGTGATTGCAGCGCTGGCAGTTGTCGCGTGGTTGTGACGGGTTTGCTGCTAACCAAGTTAAAAAGATGCTTGAGTGTTTCTCCCTTGTGAATCAGGTGATGGCGGCAATGGCTCGACCTCGGAGGCGACGACCAAGGCGACGTCCAAGGCAGCCCAACTGTGTGCGTCCTGAGTTGATCTGCACTATTTACTTCGTGTGATGCCTGTCAGACGAGAATCTGCATGGATCAGCAGAGAAACGGGTTTGAAGATAGTGGGCGTGTCCGTGCAGACATTGTTTGTTGTGTCTGTGCGAGGCCAAGTCCAAGCCAAAGGCCCAGTCATCTCCCTCGCCGCCTCCGCCTTCACAGGGTTGGATCGTGGTGCTCTTAGCACAAATTCCGTATGAAAACTCCCATCGCATGTGGCCATCACGCCTGCAAGTCCTGGATCTTCTCCAACTGGTTCTACCTTGCCTTCTTTTTTGGGACGGTGATGTGGGGTTCCCAGGAACATTAGCATGATGAGCAGCCCAGTCATGTTTGTGACTGCGCAACCCCCCCCCCTGGCAAGGCCCGCTTGCATGGGGTTGATGGCCTGGCCCGGAGCCCGGCTGGGGCATGTGCAAAGTTGCAGACATGCTCATGTGACTCCTGAAGGATGCCGATGCTAATGCGGATGGCTGGACGCGGCTAGCTGCTAGCCATGTTCAAACTTCATCGCCTTGGCTTAGCTTGAACTGCAAGCTTTTCAACATACCCCTTGTCTTTGCACCACATTTTGGTATCCCGTGCCATCCAAACTACAGCTTGGTCAGCCCAGCACTTGCAGCAAGCTCAGCATACCAGCACAACATGCCTTAGGTATTGCGTGCAGCTTGCGTTCAAAAGTTGTGCCCGCGTGGGATTGTGGATGCTTGTCCGAACGTTCAAGCCATTCTTCGTGGGCACCTTTGGCTTTCAGACGAGAGTCAATAGAAGATTCATGACATCGCACCTTGACATGATGTCCCCATGCATGCAACATGATATGCATTCTGCGTAGGCTTGCGACGGCTTGTAGCTTTTGTCGCGACAACACCCAGACACACGCAGCCAAACTTATACCCTCGAGCCCTTCCCGAAGCGGAGATTTGTGCTCGACCTATCCACACGAGCTTGCACCAATGCGCCTTGGGTTCGAAGAAGTCATTTTCTTGCAGCGCCCGCTGACAAAAAGAATTTAAGGAAGCGGGCAACGTAAGCTGCGAACGGTGTGTGATCTTGGCCTTACAAGGTCTTTGCGCATATGCAGCCGTGGTACTGGCGTCAAGGTGGCAGGTTTGGGATGCACTTACTGACAGACTGGTGCTGTGACAGACGGGCGTTGGGCTTGTCTTGGCGGCTCTTGGGATCACAGTGCCCAACGCTCGGTTTTGATGTGGTGGCCCCTAGGCTCCGGAGATCGGACAAGAAAACGCTCAGGTGGAGAACCGTCCCTGAAAACAGCTTTGCGGAAACAGGTGCAATAGATGCCGCTGAGCTGTCTCGGTCTTGGCATCTGCAAATGTCAGCACATAGCCTGAATTTCTTGATGGAGGCAGGCGGCTATTCTCTGGGCACTTGTCTGTGGCACAGCACCGTTGCCAAGTAGCCTTCTGACGAGACAAATGCCCAGCGTGCCAAGGCCAACTGACTATGCAGCCGGGGTGGGAGCCCAGGCCGTTTCTCGCATACCTGTTAACGTCGTTTGCTGCTGTTGTTGTGTGCGCTCTCATCCATGAACATGCGTGCGTGCATGCAGTGCAGGGCCAAGTTGAACGAGAGCAAACCTGCTTTTGGACCAAACATTGTCAGCACGAACTAAACACACAGCAATGACGACTAGGCTAAGATACACATGGCGGACTGCAAGCTCACCTCATTGTTTGTTCCTGTGATCCCGACATTGCTTGCAAATGAGTGCTGCTAGTATGGCTGGTGGCGTCGATGATACATTGAACGCTCCTTGACGTTTGTCTGTTGGTTCTGAAGACATGCTACTCCAGCGCATTTCCTGCCTTGTCCAGCTTTGCTGAGGACATTTTGGCAGATGCTTTGGGTGAGGAGGGAGATCGAGAGGTAAGGGCAAGCACGGAGGTGGGACGACTTCAGGAACTGCAGGGCCTTCTCCAGCAGTTTGATGATGATGATGATGATGATGAAGAGGAGGAGGCAGCGCGCTCAAGTCCCAGCCGCTTGAGAGAGGATTTGAACCACGAACAAACGTCCAGTCGGCCAGAGCCAGACAGCATGGCAGACTTGCACAGTTCTAGCGAAGACAACCATGAGACCCACCGTGTGGGTGCTGAATTCCAATTGGTTCAGATGGAGAAGGCCCTGCAGCTAGCATCTTCTCTGGCTCTCCCAGACCTCAAGGTACAGGGACATACCTCGAGATCGCAGTTGGATTTGAAACTGGGTTGCGGTTAAGGACCTTACTTGAAGTCACTAGAATGGGGGAACCAGATCAATTACTATAAATATAATATACCCATTATGGTAACTTAATTTTGGTTCCCTAGCAGCAGCCCAGGAAAGGCTTCCGACTCTGCAGCCTTGGACCAGCCATCCCCCAGGCAGGGCTCAGCAAGCAAAGTCAACCTTTCAAAGGGTTTAACTCGGGGGTTTTGGTGCACGTACAGGATCATTGGTGGGTGAACATATTGGGTGCCTGCCCGTCTTGAGGAATCCGTAAGTCAGAGTACCACTTCATTTCACTTGGAGGAGTGAAATTGCCACCTGTCTTGGCGCCTGAGGCTATACCTACAACGTTGACCACGTTGTCCCTGTCCGGAAACGCCTTTGCAGATTTGGAAGAGTTGTCACGCTTGCTGTCGGGTTTGCGGAGCCTGCGCAGTCTAGATCTGTCAGATTGTCGATTGCGCGCTTTGCCATGCCTTCCCAAACTTCCTCTTGAAAAGCTGGACGTGTCAAGCAACCTCCTGTCGTCGACCGCAGGCGTTGCAAGATGTTCTCGGCTACACTATGCAACCTTTGCTAGCAATCGGCTGGTAAAAACAGATCAAATTGAAATGCTGCTGGAGCTAAGCATGCTGGACTTATCCAGGAATCATTTGCGATCAAGGCAGCTTCTGCGTCCTCTGGCGGCATGCTCCCAACTGGAATCTCTTCACCTCCAAGGCAACCCACTGGCCGAGGCAAAGTACCGAGCATGGGTGGCCAGCATGTTTCCATCACTCATCTGGTTGGACGATCATGTTTTGCGTCCACAGCGCCTTCGTAGACAGACGCGACCTGATGGGGTCCAGCCAAGAGGCGGTGGCTCGCAGAACTCGCAGATAGGAGCCCATGCGAAGGATCCGTCAATCGAGTACAGTGAGTATAGGTGTAGATATGCGCGGCCAACCATCAGCAGCAAGAGGGCACAGGCCGCCCAAACGCCACCTCAGGCAAACGAGACGTGTGAACCTCAATCGAAGCCTTTCAGGGCCAAGAAGAAGCCGACCCTTACACTGACATTCGCACCAGCGGCCAGATCTGAACGTAGCGCTTCGCAGCCAGTTGGAGACCGCCGGCATGACCTTTGCAGAGCCCGCAGCCAGCACAGCCAGTCTGGCCAGCTGCGCGAATCGAGCAAGTCATTTCTGTCATCCGGTCACAATGGGTGTGCAAGTCGTGATGCCAGCCCTGGGCGGGCGCCGCACGATGTCGCCCAGGGGGGCACCAAGAGTGCTTCACTTGCCGCTTCGATGGGCATGCAGACACGACACGCAGCCTTGTGCCGTGAGTTGGTCGAGGACCTCGTGACTGCATGCACCCTATCAACTTAGAGCCATGTGAGTTTTCCCTGTGTCGCATGCGAGGAGAAGCGAAGGCTGCTGCAACGCATCAGTGCGAAACTAGGGGCCTCTTGGGTCACAGCATTTGTTGCAGTGGGAGTCCTTTTGATTATTTGATGCTGGCAAATATCAACGCAAATTCCGCACTAAGGAAGGTGTAGCGACCGCACTTTCAGTGCAGCCCGCTGTTGAGGGAAAGAGCACTGCTGGAACAGGAGCCCTCGCCCCAGCTGCAGGGGCTGCTGGTGACTACTATTCAAGGGCATAATCCTTGACGAGCAGAGCGGGTGGTTGCTCAGGTTCAAGCCATACAAAGCGACAAACAGGGGGAGATCAGGCCAGCTTTCGATGGCCAAGCGAGTGTACCATGAAAACTCGAATCCAATTTGCTTCGACAGGTCTTTCTGTGACGACTTGCGTGAGGATATCCATCGAAGCTTGGGAATGGATGGTGATTTAAGTTTCATTCCCTAGCTCGCGAAGCGGAGATTGCATGTGTGCTGATGTCTTGGCCACGAAGTGTCTGAAAAAACGCTGTAAGGAAAGCGGAAGCTGCTCCAACAGACGAAGCTGATCTGACAGCATCAACTCCCCATGTCTCACAAGATAACTTGCCCAGCGGCAAAAACTGCCGTCAGAGAAGGTTGTTTAGGAGTATAGGCCTGTTGCCCTCAGGCTTTCGTGCAAAAAGCACCAAGTCTTGAGAACAGGTGAGCTCCCAGTGACATGGCCCATTGATGAGTGATTCCTTCGAGCGTTCCTTATTCCAAAAAATCTGGTATGTCGATTGTCCCTGATGAAACGGAATGCCTTTTTGTATCCTTCCAGCTCAGCTTAAATAGTCGGCTTGACCTGAGAGAACGATCTTTGTTGTTTGGTCAGGTGCACCTGCCAACGTCGCATGCTAAGAGCATCTACTAGCATCCGAAAGCAATCGGCTGCACAAAAACAAGAAGCCAAGGTGTAAGACGCTTATGCATCTTTTCAAAACCGTGGCAGCCTCACCTCAGGCCCAGAGACGTAGCCGGTCTTTGTGAGATGATTACAGGTGGGTGTGAAGCTCTTGCCGAAGACGTGCTGTGCAGGCAGCACTTCACCGGATGTCCAGCACGGGAAAGCCAAACTTACAAGAGTGGACAGACGCCATCCAGGCACTTCAGCTGATATGATCTGTTTCAAAACTCTGTGTTTTGACAACTGCTGCATTTGGTGCAAGAGGACTGGAAGTGGGGACTTTCCAAGTCACAGGCCTGATGTTGTGTGCCGGCTGTGCATCTCAAGCCTGCCTCAAGCCATCAGCAACTAATGTGGTACAGCTGCTCATTGTTTTCAACCAAATCTAGAGTGCGTGCAGATATCCGGAATGTTCCATGGCATCGACTCAGCGATGGACGGGCAGGTGTGCAACTCAAATTTGTAAGCTCGCAGACGTCTCATTGTTGCCTTCAGGTCGATATTCAGGAGCTCCTCCAGTGTTTCAGGCTGGCCGTCGGTGGATTTGGTGCGCTGTGATTGTAGTGCTTTACAAAGACTGGCGGGGAGGCACGGAGAGTACGAAGGGCACTTCTGGCAGACGGCAAGCCCGAAACCGGCTGCGGCAAGCGTGCAGGTCGCCCGCCCTCAGCGTGACTGTCTTTGAAAGTTTATGCTGCTTGGAGTAGGTTGTTCAGGGCCATCATCAGTACAACTGCTACGATGGCCTGGACATGTGGCGGCTGCTCGGACGCCCTCAGCTTCGATGCCGGGATACTGACACCTTAGTTGCGGACGTCAGGTTCGATTGGTCAAACGAGAAGAAGGTGTCATGCAGCCTCATTAGCGTACGCTCCTTTGACATGTAGAGACAGAATTGTTTTTACGGCCAGTTGTGTGTCTCAGAGGCGAGCGAGTTACGTGGAAGCCTCATCCCTGGGCTGACACCCTTCCAGGCCACGTGGCAGGGCCTGGCCTCATGTCCTCGCATGTCATCTCATGTCCCATGTTTCCGCTCTGTAGAATCGAGGTGGTCCAGCGGCTGGACACTGATGGAGACGGAGTTGTTACCCCAGCGATGCCCTCACCTCGAAGCGTGGCATGTTCATTGCCCAAAGGTGGTCAGTCGCAATGAATGGCTGGGAGCCGCAACTGGGTTTGCCAGTCAGGGCCCCGGCTTGCTGCATTCATTGTTTTGTTGAGCTTGCCTTTGATTTCACGCTAGCAGGTCAGACCCCATTTGCCAAAACCCTGATCGAGCCTCGTGCAGAATTCGTACAGCTGACATGGGTTGATTTTAGCTCGGTAGCATGGACATGCGAGTAGTCAAGACCACAGAAGAACATGCCATATCCGGGGAGTTGTAATGGAAGGCCTTCAAGTCCATGGATGTGAGTCAGGACAGCTGGGATTCAAAAACTTGATGTGCAGCAGCCATGCGCAGTCTACGTAGCCTCATTTCTGCCATGACAAGCGTGCTTGATCATAGTACGCCCTCCTAGGCAACGGCAACAGGTTTCTAAGAAAATCTAAGTCATTAATGTGCACTTGCCTGCGCACCATTAGCTGGTGAACGCTTGGTCCTTGCAAGACTACTTTTGCAATCTCATGCCAACACCGCCACGCGATGAAGCAGAAGCGTGGCAAAGCATCGGCTCAGCTGTTGTTTTATTTTGGCGCCCTTAGGCAGGATGTAGTCTATGAGTGGGCTTTAAGACAAAGCACCATGGTCGGGCAGCGCCTGCAGAAGTACATCTCCAGTTGGGGTCTTGAGCCTTCGGCTGTGCCCAAGGTCATCACGCTATTTCTTGGTGCCAAGTACGTCACCCTTGGGGTCTTCATCGCTTTGGGTGCAAGATTCCAACCTCTACGGAGGGTCTTCCCCAAGAGGCGCACCGTTACATCTGCCTGGTCGCAGGTGAAGACTCGCCTTACTGCACAGCGGCCACAGGCAATGAAGCCTGAGGGTGGTGGCTGGTACGAGTGGGCATCCGACAACTACTGGCAGCTGTCAGACAAGCTGCAGACGAGGTTGCAGCAAAACCGATGGTGGCTCAGTTTGGCTGAACGAACCGGGCAAAACCCTGCAAGATTAGTCCTTGGTGTTGCCGAAGGCACGCTTCTCTGCAAACTGACCTTTCCCTTGTGGGGTCCTTTCGAGTTGTGGGCGATAATGCATTTGCTGAAGAGCCGCCAAGCCAAATCAGCTCATGGTTCTGAGGGTCCGGACGGCGACCTCATAGAACTGTACACACATGCAGCCGAAGCCACCGAAGATGCGCAAGACTTGTCGCCGGGACCCTTGTGAGAGTTCATTCGCAGGGAAAAAAGGTCTTGGATTCGCATGGGCATTCACAGCAATTTCTGACCAAGATGCCCATGATGCCCAGATGAAAATTGCTGCCAGGACGGGAATCTCAACCCAAGAGATCTGGCAAATTCGCTTGGTCTGCGTGATGACAAGTCGCCTTTGGAACTTGGGTACTCTGCTCGGTTTTTCTCTAAACAGCACTGGTGATCCCCTTCCTTTGGGACGTCTATCTCAGACCACACGCTGTTCACTTCACTAAGCACATTCCACGAGGTCGAGTGGCTTGCCAAGCCTGCTCCCAAGACCTGTGATCATCGTGGGCAAACTTCCCCACTCATTTTTGCGAGCCATTCACACTCATGTCGCTGTGCACAATAGGTGTTTCTGCAACTGGCCTGAAGCAGCGCGTCTTGGCCGGGGTCCCTGCTGGTCTTGATGGCCAAGGAGGTTGTGACATTATCTTGAGACATCTTACAACCATTGTTTCAGCATAGGCAAGATGGTCCACGCTGTCCAATGCCTTTCAGAAGATGGACAGAGACCATAACCACAGGCTGTGGCTACCTGCATAAGGGGGCTGTTTTCATAAAACCTTCCCTAACTTGCCGCTCGCTTCTGGCTCTTGCCGTCCTATTGCTCAAGTTCAGGGAGTGCAACTTGGGCAAGACAAGGTCTCCTTGTTAGCAGCGGGTCTCTGAAGATGCCTAGGTGGGACGAACACTACGTTTGCTTGGGTAGGGAAGAGATGATGAGGAAGGGCCTGTGATGCCACTGTGTTGGGTGGCAACGCCCTTGAAGGTCTCATTTGGATACACCCTGCTGAGGTGGAACATTGTGGATGATTACGCTCTTTGTCATTTGGGCTAGACAGAAATCTAGGTCAGAGCAGGCCCGCGGCAGAAAATGTGAGTGGGCATTCCAAATGAAAGAAACATCTGAACAGAGCAGAGAATATGAAGACCGCGAGACAGGGTAGTTGAGAAAATCCACTTGAGAAATCTAGTGCACTGCAGTTGCTTGTGAACTCAATGCCAGCCTCTTGCGCAGGCTAAGTCGTGAAGAGTCCATTTCTCAGGTGGCTGTGGTATTTGAAGCCCAGTATTGCCAAGCCTTGATATGTGTTGGTGGCAGCCATTGTGTGGCTCGTAGGCCGGAAAAGCAAGTCAGCCTTACTTTTAGGATCTTCTTGCTAAACATGCTGGGCTAAGCGCCAGGGCAGATCTTAACTAGGGCACCTGCCGGTTGGGGTTCCTTTCCCCATGCATTGTCAGCCTGCTTATGGCTGGAGCCGAACTCCAACATCCTGGACGCGGCTTGAAAGCGATCTCTTCGAGCTTTCGAAAGGGGCGTACGATCCGTCACGGATGAGTGCATTGCGGCGCATACCAAGAGGCGGGCATGGATCAGGTCATGTCCCAGGCAGATTTGAAATCAGGAACCGCTTGTCTATCCTCACGCCTACAACGGCTTCGCGCTGCGAGTTTCATGAGCAGCTCTGGGCTTGTTTTGTGGCCCAGACATGGGAGGATAAGGAGCTAATTGTTGTGGAGACCTACGAGGATGAGCCATCACACGTTCTCCAGGCACTGGCAGCTCAAGACGAGCGCTTGGTGCACGTTCCTCTTCATCGACAGGCAGGAGATGACTTTAGTGTTGGACTGAAGCGCAACATGTGTATACACTTGGCAAGCGGCGATGTTTGCATCAACTTTGATGACGACGACCTGTATGCGGAGCAGTACTGTGAGTGGATGGTTCTTGAAATGCAGCGCCACGGTTGGGGCGCTGTGACGCTGTGTGCTTGGCATAACTATTTTGCGCAAACGGGTCAGTGTGGGTATTCAGATCCCGAGTCCTGGAGTGTCGAGGATCAGCACGAATTGTTGGAGACCATTTATGGCTATGGTTTCAGCTACGTGTTCAAACGGTCGCTTGCCCTTAGCCATCCACACCCAGATTTGGAGTTTGGCGAAGATGCCCCTTTCATGTTGCAACTGCGAAAAGTCCTCGGCAGTGACAGGGTGGGACTTCTCAAAGACACGCAGGGGTTCTGTTTGCATGTTGTGCATCGAGATAGTACCTGCATAGACCCAGAGGTGTCTTGCCTCTTGTCAGAGGATGAGTTTGAAGACCTTCAGGTCTGCCGCAATGAGGCTCTGCAGAAATATGTGCGGAGGCCATGGTACCTCGTGCTGTGGCGCTCAATTTTTTGCTAGTCCTGAAGCAAAGATACAAAAAAACAACATGGCCTCCCAGACACGTTAGGTGTCATGTGAGGAAAAGCAGCAGCTTTGGATCTCAAGGTCAATTCTTGTATTCGGCTGAGGTTTGGGGCTGGCCTGGCAGAAGTGCGCCCGCCTATTGATCAGCCCTCAGAGCTTGCTGTGGCCTCGGCAACGGGTGCAACGGGTGCGGTGCTGTTTGGCGCCGTCGCATCACAGTAGCTAGCCTCTTCATTTGTCATGGGCCTCTGCCCTCGTCGCGGGTGTAGACAACACTCAGGCACGACTGTTCCAGGGCATTGACGCGCTACGGGATGACAGAATCACCCCTCCAGAGCGGCTGTCTGAGAAACTTCCTTCACGACAGCGCAAGAATTAGGAGTGCAAGGGAGTCAAGAAGGCTGGTTATGCTGGCAGGGCATGAACCCCCTCCCAGGTGGCACGGCACCATGCAGAGTGAAACGCTCTTCCAGAGCCCGGAGGTGCGTGTGTCACCACTGCTGGGAAAAACTGAAGCGTCTCCTCTCCATAAGCCTTTCTGATTGAGTGGTGCCCTGAAGTTATGCCCAGTTTCAGGGAATGCATAAGCCATAAGAGCAACTTGTCCCAGCAGCTCCCTGGTTTTCCGTTGCTCACTGAGTCTAAAGATCTGCTGATGAGTTGCTGGGATGGAGGCTTTGCAGCACTTGCTGCACACGGGCTCAGTGGCGTCCTCAACCCTGAAAGAGCTTCATTTTGTGTTTCCGGACGTGCTTGTCTTAGGCCGGTGGACCAGATGGCTGGATCCACACATCGCTGGCAGCTCAGCAAAGTCGGTCCATTTGCTTTTCAATTTTTTTTGCCCCCGCGACAAGGCCAGAGCCTGCAGAATCCCTACAAGGCAATTTCTGGCTCCGGCCTTGTTCTGGATGAATTCGTGGCTTGTTCAGGGGGCAGCCCTACACCACAAGGATCCCAGAAATCCGCACAGGTCGGGCTCTTGCCCAGGTGGCGGGGCTCCGTGCATCATGTGCTTGGTGCCTGCCAGGTCAAGGGCAGTAGCAGTGGAGGCCTCTGCTTTCGGCAGTTGGCAGCTTGTTCCAGGTCAAGTCTTTGCAGGGTACCTCACCTTTCTTAGGTTTGCAGGACTTGACCAGCCATTTGGAGGAACTGTCTGCCCAGGTGCACTTCTTAGTCCATATTTCTGCTTTCTGTACGCTCTATGCAGTTCAGCAAGCTCAGGCAGAAGGCAAGTTTCGACAGAAGGCCTGGGGTCTCAGACCGCGCTTGGGGCTCGGGACTGGTGGGAAAGCTGTACCTGTGGCTCTTGAGGCTGTGGAATGGGCTGGGAGCATGAAAAATGCTTGCATTAGAATGGGTGTGCTCAGAGCGCCTCGGCCTGGTCATCCAAAATCAAGCCAAAGCCCAAATCAACATCAGCTGACGCTGAGGATGACATCTCGCAGAGTGCATTTCAATCAGCCGTTGGAGGATTCGAGCCGCTTCTGGCAGTTTCTCGGTCAAACGACAGCCGAAGGTTCCTGACTTGTAACCCTAATACCTTCTGAAACCTGGAAGCGGAAAAGCTGGGAAAGCTGCATGCAGCTCCTGCTACCAAACCCTCGATGGATGCGGGGCCTTCAAGCTACTTGTAGTATTCTTTAGCTACCGCAGCAGCTTCTCAGAAGTCGCAATGGCATGGCAGACAACACATGGCAGCCGCTGCGCTGCAGTGCAAACCAGCCAAGGAGCAGAGCTCAAGTGTGCCTCGCCCAGACTGATATCCTAGGCTTTGGTAGGCATGTATTTCCTACGCCAGCCGAGGAAATCTTTAAGCAGATGGATGAAGACAAAAACGGCCTCATCAGCGGTGAGGAGTCGCTAGGTTGCAATATTTGTTGTTCGCTTTACAGTGCCATCGTGAAAGGATGGGAGGTTTACCTCCACTGGTTCTGTACATGACCAGGTGCGTCCTGTCAGAGGAGGAGCTACGCAAAAAGCTCGCATCAGTGAAATCCTTGCGAAATTTGTGCGCCCATTGGAGAGAAGGGGTGTCCAATATTCTTAAGCACCTGTCCGGAAGGTTCCGTGATGCTGACGTCGACAGCGATGGCCAGCTGTCGCGAGACGAAGCTCGATTGGCACACCGGGTTGCCCATGAGAAGTTGCTTTGTGTACAAATGCCGCCTGTCTGACCAAGCTCAGGAGTTTGCAAAGCTCGGAAAGCTGTTGAGCAAAGGGTCTTCGGGAGGGAAGTACGCAGCACCGGGCTGTGTAGCTGCGACTTGCAGAATCAATGTCTTCGATGCTCCGCGCGTGGTGCGTTCGAGGCTTTTTTTGATGACATGGCTGCCGCTGGCAAGCCACCTCTCACACTGCGGGGGCCTTGGCCGCAGGTTTTGAAGTCTCCAGCTGATGCACTGTGTGCGCCACAGAACCTGACCTGGAAAGGGCTGCCCTGGAGTCAATGGCGGGCGCGCCCAGTTCCTCCAAGCAGGTCTTGCCGCAGCCCTTGCCACAAAAAGTCATGCCAACTTGCCCAGCTTTTCTCGTCTGCTGTGGTGAGGTCTAAGGAGGATGGGGCAAAGTATACGCTTCCGGCAATCATCCACGGCAAATGCATCCTTTCAGCCGGGCCCAGAGCTTTGCAATACTTCTCTGGGCGCTTCAGCTTTTTTATGACAGGTGAAAGGGGACAACCTCCCTTCTGGTTTGAGCGACAAGGTTTGGGTTGCCGTGCAGGATTACTGCGAAAGATCTGCTTTGACGTGTTTTGTGTCGCAGGTCGGGCAGAGTTTGTCAACAACTCTGTCCCAGCAGCTAGGGGTGACGGTCAGAGTTGCAGGGGCGCAGGCGAGAGCTCGCGTTGCTGACCACTGACCAGTGCATATTCCTCTCGTGTCGATCAGTAGAAAGCTCCGAGCTTGGGCATTCTGACCTTTTCCCATGTTTGCGTTAGGAGCAACAGGGCACAACATCGACAGAGTTCGACGTGTTGTACACCTCCAAGACGCAGAACGGTGCAGCAGGGTTCTCAGCACGGGCATGTCTGCTCCCCAACAAAGGCATTGATTCAGTTGATAGCCTTCATGGACCTGAGGAAGTCATAAGCAAGCTGCGAATGAGTGCGCGGCTCCAAGATGGACAGTGATCAAGCTATGCCCCATTTGGAATGCAAGCCTTGCGCCAGGCTGACATCATCCAGACAGAACTGCAACGAGCAGTGGAAGCGGAAGGGATCTCAGCAAGCAAGCATGATATTCGTAGCCTTGCGCTGCATTGGCTTGTGTTTCTGCAGGTGGTATCAGCTTCTGCCAGTGCTCCATGCTCAGAAGAATGGCTCCTGTTTGATACCACTGACGTTTGTCTTTTCTGTTGGTGCTTTGAGGCCTGGTGCAGCAGCACAATGGATTTCTATGGTCCAAAGGTGCTCTGGCTGCTTTGTGCTTAGGCCGACATTGTCTGCAACGCATGCTGTCCCAGGCCGGAGCACTCCCCAGAGGCCAAAAAGTAATGCAGGAATTCGGCAGGGGGCCCAAAGTCAGCTTTTTGCAACTTTCGGATGCTGCTAGCATGAGGTCAGCTCGCCGGCAAGCCCAAAGAGAACGGCTTCCCGTAACCCAACATATTAGCCATTTGCGGAAGACTAGGGCGAGGGGACAATGTAAGGTTAATTAAGGTTATATCAGGGTTGATTGATCATGTAAACTTGCCACCGTCGGGGCTTCGGCCAGGTATGTGGCGGCACGGTGAGCTTTGCCGCCAATGGTCTCACTAATGTGAGGATCGTTTCAACAACCCTCCCGCATCTCCGGGAGTTCCGGGCGGACCAATCTAGAAATAAAGGTCCGGGAGATCGGGGGTCGAAAATTAAGGGTGGTAAGAATGGAATTCACCAGCCTAAAAATTTGCAAAACCATTGTTCGCAACTCAAATTAAAATCAAATCCTCTCCTGCTCCTACTTTCCCTACTCCTACTCTTGCTCTTCCTCCTCCTAGCACTACTACCCCCTGACCGCCCAATATGTGCATAGGGCATATCAAGCAAAACATAGGTTCGCAATTAATTAACATCAAATTAAGCATCCTGAATCTCAGGTTTTTTCCGGTTGTATTATTAGCACTTACAATAATGTTGCTTACATTAAGCTCCTAGTGCAGGCTCTCAAGTGTTCACAACAATATAGTCATCAACAGAACCTTGATCATGTGTGCTTCTATATTCTGTGCTCACAGCAAATCTGACGGGCTTCCGCGCCCCATGTACATTTGGTGTCACTGTGTTGGTCGCTCCTTGCAGCATTTTGCAACGCCGGCCTGCTCGTGCCACCGTATCCGGATACTAAGCGGCTGAAGCTGAAATGAAGCTAAGCCGTGGTCGTCGCGAGCCTGTGGCAAGTAATTTCGAGCTGCGAACCATGGCTTGCCAGTTGACCCGGGAGGCAAAGGGCCTCAAAAGATTGCTGATCTGATTGTATTGACTGCTTGTATTGTGGTGGGCAATCATTTCGAGCTTGGGAATGCTGCAGCCGCTTTGCCAGCACCAGCGGAAATGGGGGGCTCTCAAGCTTTTGCTTTGCTCGAGGGCAACTGACTGAGAGATGCACAGATGGGACAAAGCAGTGCCATTTGCTGTAAGTTCCACCTCGTTCAGGCCCTGCACCCCCGCGACCTGCTCACTTGGCCTCAAGTCGAGTGGAGGTGCGCTGTAGCGCTGCACCCTTCTTGCCCTCCATTCGTGATCATGTTCCTGACTGCAGGCTGCAGACCTCTCGCATCATGTTAGTCGAGGGCCTGGGCCTGGCAGTGCAGTAACTCTGCAAGGACAGGGCTGGCTTGCAGAATTTGAGCGAACGGCATAGCCGTGCCTTGTGCTCATGAGGCCGGGTGTCCATTGCATTGGCAGCTTCAGCCATCATCGCGTTCCGAGGGTCACGGCGTGTTCGAGGCTTGGTGCTCAGGAGGGCGAAGAAGAAGCGCGAAGAGACGGAGTTTGACCCGATCGTCGAATACCGTCGCGTGCAGGAAGATCCGATTGGCTCCTGGGGTTTCTTAGAAGATGGCGAGTTTGCGTCACGAATTCTGGCTTGTGCTGCAGGCTCATTCTTGCCTGGGCTGCTGCTGACGACACTTGTATATCCATTAGCTGATCAGGATGGTGTAATTGTTGAAAACATGGTGGCCTCCTTCTTCTATGCTGTTGCAATTTCCTTGACTTTCACATTTCTTGTTCTTCTTCGTATTGGTGGCTTGCTGGACCCTTTGAACAAGAATCTCCTGGCAAAGTCTTACATCGTGGAAGACAGCCGGGACCAGCGAAGCCAACGGAGCTTTTCCCCGGGGGATGGTGGCTACTACGCCGTGGAGAGGGTAAAGCCAGAGGCGGAGCTCAAGCGAGACCAGCTCCTTGGCCAATACGAGACAGCACCCGCCATGGCCAGGCTCAGAAAGTACTTGGTGGGTTCTATGGCTCTGCTTGCGCTTGGATGGACGGCTGGAGCTCTTTCCGGTGCTGAGATGCGTCGAGACTTTGAGCCAGAAGAGGATGAGCAGGCTTGTGGAGTTGGTTGCATACCAGGCTTTGAAACTGATAATGCCACAAGAGCAAGCCGGATTTCTGCACTACTTGGCCGGTAACTTCTTACCGACCAGGATGCACATTGAGGAGGGCAAAAAGGAGTTTGGCAATATGCTGTTGGCTGTGCGCTTGCTGGTTCCTCCTGACTCCTTAGCCTTGCTCCGTCAAGGAATTGGCCGCAGCCCTTTTAAAGAATCATGCGGTAGCACTCAGAATGTAGAAAGAAAATGGGTTCACAATACTGGACCACTTCATCCTCGCATTTCCGACCATGAGCCTGTTGGACAAGCATTTGTGTGTGCATGCGTTTGGGTGTGCGCGCGTGTGTGCGTGCTTAGACCTGGTAATTCCTGATGGCTGGTACATGGCGAATCCTCATCGAGGTGCGCCCAGCCCTTGTGATACATGCGCCTGCACTTGGACCAAAATGGACAACGCAACCACTGCAAGCACGTGCTATTGTGCCTGCCTGCTGCCACAGCTGTTCGCCACATGTGCACCTCTGGCATTCATGAGACTTTGTCGGCACAGTGTTCCCTGACAGTCCTTGCATGACCTGGGCCGCGCATCGTATCGTGTTAGCGGCTCAGGATCTTGCCGCACTGGCACATTCTGTGTTGTTGCGGTGGGGAGCTGTTGGCCGTTTGTGAGGTGGGAGATCATTTGAAGGGCATCGCGCATGCATTGCAGAGTGTGCCGGCCCTTTCTGCCATCATCCATGTGCCACGAGCTATTAAGCGTGTAGTAGCTAAGGATGGAGCAGATCCCACTTTGAGGAACCTGGTAGTCGAGGCTGTGATGCAAACTTGCTCTGAAGCGATGATTCTTCCTGGCTCATGTAACTCCATGGCATTGAGTGACAACGGGCTGACCCTATCACTGGACAGGTGAAGAGCAGCCAGAAGACCATGTGACTTGGAGAATCTGCAGAGTTGACTGTCAGTCCCAGGAGTAAACTTCAAGGATTGCAGCTTGGAGGCGAACTCCTGCTTTTCATGCACCTGATGGGCAGTCGGACGTCATATCCTTGAACGAGGTGCAGACAAGTAGAGGTCGGACGGGCGGCACAGTGCCAGCATTGTTCCCACCTTTTCAGGTCATGTTTTTCCCTCAACCACCACCTGGGGAAGGCGTTGCCAAGCCGGCCTTGTTTTTGACAGGCTTTGCCTTGGCCTTGGCATCTTGGCATCTCTTGGGAATGTGATGGCGTGGCAGGTGATCAGCGTGATGAAGCTCCACAGGCAGCGACTCGAGCATGTAGGCATTGGCTGAAACATTCAGCGGCCAGGCACCAGTCAGATGCCTTGGTCGGTGAGGCAATGCTGCAAGTCTAGGCGCTTCGCGGTAGACTCAAGAGAGGCTGCTTGCGCAGGCTACGGTAATGCAGCCTAAGGGCGAGATGGGCCTGGATTTAATGAGGAAAGGCGCCAAGCAGGCACTTTCCGCTGTTGCTCTCACTCGTCTTAAGTTATTGAGTCACCCGCCATCAAATTTCCCTGCATTTCTGGCAGGGCGTCATCATGCTCACGGTTACCAGTGGTCTGCCCATGAAACAGGCTGAAGCGGAATTGCACTTGCTGTCTGATGCTACAGGGAGTTGGTGAAACCTTAGAGCCAGGCACCACCCGTGCCCACCCACACTGTGCCTCATTCTGGGTTCCAAGCTCTGAACTGTTTGTGAGCGTGCGAGGGCACTAAGCATGCAATGCTGTCCGTTGTTCATGCTCAGGAACACGCCTCAGCATCTACCACCCGCCATGAAGCGATCAGAGCGCGAGGACCAAACGCCACAGCGTTCCTCCAACGCGCGAGCCCTGGCGCTTATTGGCAAGATGGGGAAGCAAGCACCAGTTTGGAGACCATGGAAATCCCAGTGTTGACAGTTCTAGTTTGGAAAAGTCAGCTGACGAGGCTCCAGCTACAGAAGAGGCCAGGCGTTTCATCGTCGAGTCTGGAAGTTGCTGCCATCAGCAGGCCCCGTCGTCGACAACGCAGCCACCTGCAGAGCAGCCGTGGCCAGCTGAGATTTGTCAGACAAAGGGCCCCTTTGCAACCTCGACCCATGCCTGCGAGTACACAAGTATGGCTTTCACGTTGCTGCTTTGGACTCAGGGTTGATGTGTTGGCGAACTTGTTTGCTTGCACGGCTGGCGTCCTGAAAGGCTGGTGCTGCAGACCTTTCTGTGACCGTTTGAAGATTAGCATTGATCCTGAAGGTGTTGCGCAGTTGTGCAGCCAAGAAAAACAAGAAGGCTCCTGGACTTCACATGGCCTCAGAGCTTTTCCGGGATGGAATATGGCCTGTTGCCAGGTTCTCCGCCCCCGTAGGCTTGCTGTTGACATCGTCGTCGCAGCCGAACTACAGAAAACAGCTTCGACAAGCATTCACTTGAACAAGTTGTCAGCATTACCGAGCGAAATCCTTCCAGGGCTGGCTGAGCTTGATGTCCTCCTTAGCCGAAGTGGCTGGCGGTGTAAGACAAGGAGATTCGTGGATTGAACATTCCCGAATGGTTGGAGTGAAGAACACCTGGTACCGTAGTAGCTTGTAGATATTGTGATAGCATCTGGTTCGCAAAAGTCAGGCAGTTGCACAACATTTTAGGCCTTGTCTCCTTGAAATTATGGGGGTGCTGTAGCGGCATGACGCTGCCATGGTTCGGTGGCCATGGCATTCTTCAGCCGCACACAGGGTGGTACGTGGGGCGGAGCTCAGGGCGGAGCGCAGGGCGGAGCTTGGGGAACTGGCAGCCCAGTGGCGCAAAGCTATGGGAACCCCACCCCTGGCCTGCCCAGCCGGGGTTTTGGCCAGCCTGTGACGGGCGGTTTCTTCAATGACCATGCATCCAACAGCGGCCAGCTTCTTGGTTTTCAAGCGCAAGATGTTGCAAACCAACCAGAGCTGGCTGCCCGATCCGGCTGGGGTGGGTTTTCGTGTGGAACTCAGGCTAGAACACAGACGCACACATGTTTCAGCTTGTATCCAACGAAAACCGTCTGAGGTCAAGGATGTTTGGCCCTAGTTCGACAAGTTTGCAGCCAATCAGCGAGCAGGTGCAGAAAGCGTTGATGTTGCCGTTGCAGCAGTACATGCGCTCGTGAGGCCACGTGGCAACCTTCAACAACTGGGTCTGGCCATGTACTTACAAAAGTTTGTCTACACGACGCATCGCCATTCGATTGCGTCCTGCTGGCACGCGGTCTAGCTAGCTGCGTAGTCGCCTTGATAGGTGCAGCTGGCGGATTTGTCGGCCAGGATGTGGCTGCTGGAGGGCAATTGCAAGGCAGACCTCTTTTTGCAGTGGCTAGTTGGATATGCGACGTTTCAAAGATTGCGGGAGTCTTCGCCTCTTTTCTCGGTGTGTTCGGCATGCTAGGTTGGTCCATGAATCCGCCGCAATTGCAGACTGGCATGGGGGCTACCAGGCTCTGCCTCATGGCATATGTTTTGTTTTGGTCAGCCTTCGCAGATGTTGAGAAATCGCAGGCGCTCGGCTCCTTCTTTTTCCGGGTTTTCCAGCAGCATGAACATGATGGGTAGCTCGGCTAGCAAAACTCGTGAAGGGATTGACATTGTCAATGGCTCAGTCATCAGAGGCTCTCAGCTCTTGGCTGGCAGACGACCAATGCTGGGAGGCACCGCGGGCTATGTCTAGCTGAGGTTTCAAACATGATCCATCGTTGCCTTCAGCCATTGCACGTGTTGAAGCTGCGGCTCGAAGCCAGACAGCAAAAATAGGGTGGCACTCGTGGCCACCTGAGGGTAGTGTACATAGTTGAGGCGAGATGCAGTGGCCGGCGTGGCCACAGCAACAGCCATGGGGGGTCCAGCAAGGATGGATTCAGCAGGGATGGCCTGCCCAGCAAGGCTAGGTTAGCCAGCAGCAAGGATGCGGGCAGTGGGGTGGAATGCAGCAGTGGCAGTGGCCCCAAATGCAGACGGGCAACGATGGATACATCATTTGCTATGTCCCTGTCGGCATGCAGCAAGGCCAAGGCGGCCACATGGTGAATCAAATGATTCAAATGAACAACTCCGGCCAGATGGGCATGCAGGGCATGCAGAGCATGCAGATGGGCCAGCCAAACAACATGATGCACGCGGGCAGTGGACCGCTCATGATGCCCGTGCAAATGGGGGGCAGAGCCGGGCAGCAGAATCATTGGTCTTTAAACCAAAACAGCGGCCCTGGACAGCACCCCTTTGGGAAAGGCAGCGGGAAGTACAATCGGGTCGGCAATGTCGGCCCCGACAATGACTCCAGTTGGCGGTCGAGGCCAATGGATGGAGCCGGCAAGAATGATGCGGCAATGTTCGTGTCAAGATCCGAGGTCACATCCTCCATGAAGCGGAGGAGTGAAAGTGCGGAGGTCAGCAGCGGCGGCATCGTTGAGGCCAAAGCCACTACCCCAGTGCCCTCAGCTGCTGGGCATGTTAGTGCGCAAGAAATCAAAGTGGCGGCAGAGCCCGCGGACGAAGAAGAGGAAGATGAGAGCGAGCCGGGAGAGGCCGATGAGAACGAGGAGGTGGAAGACGAGGTCTCGGAGGTGCCGGACGAGCAAGAGGAAGCTGAAGAAGAGGAAGAGGAGGCCGAGGACGCTGAGCCCGAGGAGGCCGAAGATGGTCTGGCCAAAGACGATGTGGAGGAGCAAGCCGAAGACGATGTGGAGGAGGAGGCCGAACACAGCGAGCAGGAGGAGGGCGAAGGTGGTTTGCAGGAATCTGAAGAAGATGAGTCAGAGGAGGCAGAAGCCAACGAGCAGGAAGAGGCGGAAGATGATGACCAGGAGGAGGCCGAAGATAGTGTGCACGAGGAGGCCACACGCAATGAGCAGGATGCGGAAGATGATGATGATGATGATGAGGAAGAGGTCACGCAGAAGGAGAAGGCCCGAGCATGCAAGGGTAAAGCTGTTGTTTTGGGCTGGAAAGTTTCGGCACTTGACAAGCTAGGGAAGCTAAGCCTGTAGGTGAGAGCGGGTGAACATTTTCAGCGTGCCTTTTGACTGGTCAAGGCGCTCAGCAAGCACTTGTAGTTGAACGCTATAGCACGACTGTCCATAATCGGGGTAATATAAAGAGACCAGCTTGGGGTGCCAGATGTAGGGTTGTAAATTGGAAAGTAATCCGCCCCTAAGTCCCAGGAATCACCCAGTAAGAAGCACAATGACAGGTAGTACTTCTACGCTTTGTGATGTGTGTCGTCAATACTTCGCTTTGAGGTCTCTTAGGCTATGCTGTTCTGGCTGTACATTAATCTGTGGGTTTGTGTGAGCAGGCCCTGAGAGCATATCAAAATGCAAAAGAAACCTTTAGCAACCAGTCTGAGAACCTCCAACCTGGCAATCCTGGCAAAACAAAACACAAAGAAACACAACTCAAACGTCTAAGCCTTTTTCAAGTGCAGCAGGAGGAGCCAAAGCCTGCAGAGAAGAAGCCTGAGGAGGCGCCGAAGCCCGAGGAGAAGGAACCAGCAACCCGGCAGCTCTTGTGGGTTTAGGGTTTGGGGCCTTTCCCTAAATTGAGGGTGCCTTTTTGGGGGTCCCTTTGATGAAAATGATTATATTTTGGGTCCGTATTGACGTCTCCGTATTTACGGGAACTACTTGGTGGCCTTTCCCAGCGTAATTCTGCAGAACGCCGATGGAGTAGCTTTGTTTTCAGAGAAGCCAGAAATCTGTTCATGGATTTTGCTCTGAAAATCCTAGGCACAACAACAGTACACGCTAAACCATCAATTTCAATGAAGGCCCTGGTTCCCCCATGGCTGCAGACGCGCCGCCGACGCAAGTGAGGGCCTGCGCAGCAGAGTTTCACACGCGTTCAGCGCCCGCCCAGGGGTCTACTACAGTTGTGCAAGCAAAAGAGATGTAGCGCAGCTTGGCACAGGCCGTGTTCTAGGTTAGAGTGGGGCTGTGCTGCACTCTGCGGTTACGAAACTCTCCTTCTACAAGCTCCTGAGCAATTCGCTGTTGTATCGTACGCTTTCGGAATTGCTTAGCGGAGCTACCATGGAGATACCCTATAGGTGTTCTTCACGTCCTCTGTCATATCTTGTATGGCACCATCGCGTGTCAATCTAAGCTAGTGCCTTACGCGTTTCTTGTGATATAGTGTTACATGGCCACGCTTCCTGGTATGGTTATGGTGGGGCAGATACATTGGGCACAAAAATTATGTAGACGCTGCGACAGGGCATACATTACTTTCGGGCAGCGTCGAACGCCAGATAGATGCAGAAACGTTCCTTTGGAAAGCGGCCCATATCCTGAAGGCCCAAGATTCGTGTCAAGAAGGAACTTAGCCGTTAGAAAAAATCATAGATACAGTCTCGGAACAAATTCAAATCTTCATGTTTTAAGCAAGGAAGGTCCCTAATTAAGATAGCTGAAAGGCGGGGCACCTTAGAGTCCGCCGGTATCACACTTTCCTCCTGCGCCATAAATGACGGCCGGGAGCCTCGCCGGAAATGAACCATCTGAGGCCACCATCGGGCAACGCCCTTGAACTGGCCCGCAGAGTCTAGAATGGAACCTGCAATCTCAGTCCTGCTGCAAGAAAAACCATTAAACACAGCCCAATGCTGGGCTGAGGGCCAACCGTGGCCCTCAAGATGCAAACCCAGCAGTGGTTGCTTCAGCAATCTTCAGCATTTGATTTCTTTCCAGGCATTAAGTGGAACCTTGCTTTTAGAAGGGGCGCTTTTGATGGTCTTGAAGGGCGAGCCTATGCTTGTCTGGAGAGCAGTGTTGATGGTCCATTTGGTTGTCCATGGCCTGCATGATGAACTAACATGCGCAGATGTCAAACAGGCCTGTTATGTTTTCGACGTTCTTTTTTGGCGTCTCGTTTGTGTACAGATCATGCATCCAAAGCCGCCTTGCAGGTTATCCGGGACGGACGATGGGCCAGGGCTTCGTGCAGCTACCGGAGACTAACATGGCAAGTCATCCCAACACAGCTTCTACAAAGCCTTCCCGTGGCAGTCTGATCATCTGCCGAGAAGCCCAGCAAGCCGCCATGGCAGGTGATGCACGTGTCCCCTGGCTGGTCAAGCAGCAGGATCCTTCAAGCGTCCAGGCACCTGAAGGAGGACCGAAAGTGAAATGAGATTTTGGGAGCATTTCGCTGCCCCCTTGAACTGACGCAGTTCCGCGCCCTCAACCCGCTGCGGACCAGGCGAAACACATGTCATTAGGAAATATTGACTGCAGCTGATTTCCAAAACGGTTTTGCCTTCAAGGCTGCAAGCCAAGCAAAGCCGGGCAGCCAGGCACGGCATGACCTAAGCAGAATTGGTCACCTTGAAAGCTGGAAAGCAGCAGTCCGCAGATCACAGGGCCTGATTTGACAGCCGCTTTGGCTCGAGCGGCTCTGTGGATGTGACTTTACACTCTGCACTCCCAGAGCGCCGCTTTGCGCTTCGGCACGTTGTGCAACCACGTGATGAGTGTGTGTTTGTGTGCCTTCTCGATTTTAAGGCAGCTCGCGAACCGAACCGGAAGCTCGGCAGAAAACTGAGGTTTCTGAGGCAAAGCGCAAGGGCTGTGATGGGCACATGCCGGGCAGGTGCTCCCTTGGAGGCTGCGCAGCCTGCAGGATGGAGTACTTACATTACCCAGTCCAGGTGGGCAAGGCAAGGCCTGAGACATGAATCATTGCATTAGTCGGCAATCTTTATGTGGGCAAGCTGTGGCAGGGAACAGGCACCCGAGAACAGCTGTTCTGGCTTTGCGGCATCGTTTTTGTGCAGTGCTTCATCCGCACTTGCTTTGTGTGTGATTTACAGACCGGTGCACTGCTGCACTCTAAACCTCTCGTGACTTTGAATCCGAGGGCCCTGTTGACAGTTGCGCGCCTGCTCTACCTCTTTGACACGATTGGAGGTGCGCACTTTTCGGCGCTGCGTAATGCTGTCAGCGAATAACATCCCCCTCTGGTGGCTCCTGTCTGGGCTTCAGGCTTGCTCATGGGCGTTGTGGACCCTCGGAGTGCATTCAGATTCCATTTGGTCTGCACTCTTGCTTGAAGTGCGGACATGCTACAACTTCGTGTGAAGCGAAGCGCAGGACGTGTTTCCTCTCGAGCAAAAACCTGAGGCATTTCTTGGATGGTACTGTGCGAAGAAGGGCATGGATATCACTTTGACAAGCTTATGGGGTGTTGCGAGTGCATTGCTGTTTATGTACGACTTCTTTGGGGCCCTCACGGAGCCTCGGTTGAACTAGTCATGTCAGCCATCATCTCCATCGCGGAGCAACTATGAGCCAAGGGCGCCTTGGTGAACACCTTCAAGCTTGATTTCATTAGAGCGGCTTGCACGGCATATGAGAATATGAAAAGAACTGCAGCTGGCAAAAGACAGAAGTTTCAGGTGGCAGTCCTCCTTGCTCTCCCACTTACGGACTTTCTAGCTGGCAGCTTCGCATGGGAGCTCTTCAAGGAGCATGCTTCGCGACCGAAGAGTTACATCTTGTGCGGGATTGGTGTGGGCCATTGACTTCATGTCTCCTGTTTCAGCCTGGTGCCAGTAACTCAGGAAAGAAATGGCGGCCTTCTCAAGCCGCTCTTTGGAGGAGGACTTCCCACAGTGCAACGCTTGGATGAGGAGCACGGCAGACTCAAGTTCGCCCCCTGTCTGAAATTGCTGCTGCACAAGCATGGCATTGACCAGAGAGATGCATGTTGAGACAGAAGTTTGGAAGGCGGCGGAGGGCCCAGCCCAGTATCTGCCACGAGAGCACTACCAGGCGTACCCTCCTCCCACTGGCAACCTTCCTGGCCAGGATTGGTCCGGGGAAAATGTGTCATTCAAGCTTTCAATATGCAGTAGCAGTGCTTGCGTGGTAGGAGATGCAAAATGCGGCCGATGGCTTTGTTGCTCGGCATGCCAGTCAGAGGTGTGTGCCATCTGATTTGTGCAGTGATCGCAGCTTTGTCGTCAATGCCAGGTGAAGCCAGCAGGACGAAAGGACAGCAACGTTTGCTTTTAAAGCGGTGCGGGCGTCTGTGGAAAGCATGCCTTTCGACAGACGCTTCAATTGCATATCTTGCATTTGTTGGTTTCACTTTCAGAGACGTGTCTTGACAGCACGGCCGAATGCAAAAATGAGTCTCGGCCGAGACTGTCCGTGTCTGACTTGTGGGGAACCTCACGATTGTCTTGAGAGTATAAGCCGTGAGCCACAGGCTGCCAATCTGCTGCGACGAAGTCAGTTTCTGGAGGCACGTGTTTAGCATTTGTCACAGTGTGACATTTTTCAAAAAAGCTGCTTCAGGCGCTTCGGCGGAAAAGAGCAGCGCAGGCATCCCAAAAGGAGGCCATGACAAGTACCAAGAACTGATTTGGTATCTCAATGATTTATCGTTTTCTCAGGAAAGTTTGGCGCCGCAAGCAGTCGAGATCAAGTCACTGGCGACGCTCGTGTCCCAGGCTCTTTCTACTAGATAGATAGGGATGCAGGGCAGCAGCAGATGTTTGGATTCGAATAGGAGTTTGCTGGCAGGAGCGACCCTGGCTTCGGCCGTTGCTGCTGGCTGCCTCCGGAGTGCAACATTTGGCTCGGCACCCAGCGGAGCGGCTATTGCAAGGTGCGAAGTCCTTCTTGCGTGGACAGGCGCTGAGCATGCAAGCTCTTCTTTGGCGCTGCCTCGCGACATTGACAGACCCAGAGGCAGAGCGGTCGCCGGGAAGCAAGCAACGTGCGCTTGGAACTTGTGTGATTTTTCATGCTTGTTGCTGAACATCAGGCCTTCTTGGAGCCGCCGGCCCCTCAAACCTGGGAAATGCGGGGATTTCTGAAATGGGCACGCTGAACGCAAGTCAAGTAGTGCTGGTTCTTGACAGTGGTGACTCAGGATGTTCCTAGGAGCGCAGGAGATGATGTCTCAGGGATCAGGCGCTCAAATACCACTCCTGTTGCGTGCAACTTGTGGGGAGAGTAGGCCAAGCAAGCTTTGCCAGCGACGGGCAAACTTGGGTGGTGCAAGAGGACTGACCAGGATACAAGAATCCAGCATTGTACCAGAAAACTTGCATTCTACCGTGCTAAAAAAGTGACGTTTCAGGATGGGCTGTTCCGTGCTGCATTCGGAGCTCATGTGGCTGAGCCATGGAACCGCGAGCGGCTCTATCTTCAGCCGTGCAACTCAGACTATCTCTTGTCTGGTTGCTGGCATTGCAGGGCCTTCAGAGTTCAAACTTCGCGCTTCAGGGCCACAGTTCACACACCCTGTGCTCAGGCTGGAACGGTCTGTCCTGGCCAAGCCAGGGCATTCGGACGAGCGTGGAGAACAAGCAAAGTGCCCAGCAAAGTAGAGTGATGGAAAACTACAGATTTCTAATTTGTTTTCACTTCACAATCGCCTGCCCTTCCCAGCTACGAGCTGATGAAGATCGTGAGATGCTGGGTTCAAATCTCTGTGCACCGCGACTCAATCCTCTAGAGGCGAAGTAGGGAAAGGACCTATCAAACTTCTGTATTTCGCAGTCTTGCAGGAAGTGTATTGGTTGAACAAGTCACCGGCTTAGCTTCATGGTGCATTTCGTGGGGTGTCAAGCGGACTGCCATTGGTTCAGGCTGAGCCTTCGTTTTCGGTCACAGGTGAAATCGAAAAGGCGAGAGATGGGAGGGGATGAGGTGTCCAAGCCCATGGATGAAACTTATTCGCAGGCGCCATTTGGTGGCCAGTCAGCTTTACGAGCTGCGCACTCCAGCTGCATAATTCCGGCCTGCTTGTGGGACTTCACTTTGCAGTTATGGTGAAGACTTTCCTTTCAGAGTAGCCACAGCAGAGTGCAGGGCTCGACGTTTGCCGAATCTCCTTATTCCAGATTCCTTTGGCTTCAAGAGACTTGGACTTTCCCTCAGCGTGCAATGGCCAAGTCAGTAGTAATTTATGTGGGGATACTATAGTATCCAATATAGAGTAAGATTATATCCTCCTTTTGGGGATGGTATCTCATATAAGGAACATTACCTTACTAGGTCCAACCACCAAAAAAACATTACTCAAGTGGCCAATGTCCTGCTGTGTGTATACAGACCAGAAAGGTGCCCAAGTTACTTCAGATTTGCCTAGGCAAGAAAGCTCACCTCTTTGGATGCCCTGGAGAGCCGAGAGACACGCGTAGCAGGTGAACTGCAGGACGTGGATGAGCTGCTGTTGAGCAAACTTTTCAGCTTGAAAGCAGAGTGCAGGAGCTGTTCCATCGATATCAGAAGGAGATGGAAAGCCACGTGGTCACACAGCTGGACAGCCGTGTGAGCCCCAGAATGGCCGGTAAGTTGCCTGCCAGGTCAATCCTGGGTTGGCTCTCTGGCGGCATGTTTCGGGATGTTGCCGCCAGGTTTGGACTTGTTGGTGGATCGCGGTAAAGGATGGCGGGCGGCGCTGGCTGAGGATCGGATCGGATAGCGCAAGCGACTAGCTTCTCATCGGCATGATCTGTGCATAGGCTGAAGCTCGCCAAGCGACTGATGCTGATGCGCAAGCTGCCCGAGAGGCTTACCGAAGCAACCTCCAGGCTAACAGAATCACATAAATGCACTTCTCGAAAGAGACGTGTGACCCCGCAACTTTGGACAGGAAAGGAAGAAAGTTCGCGCCAGGCGCTTGCATTTGGTTTGCTCCCAATGTGTGGTAAGAGGAAGATCTGCCGCACAGGCGTGATGAAAAGGAGGTGCTGTTCGAATCCATTTGCAAGAGTCTGTATGGCAAGTGGCGGGAGCTGCGGCAAGTCCGCCAGGCTCTGCAGGGTTTCAATCACAGGCAGCTGGCACTTGATCCAGTAGTCCTGATGACAGACCACAGAGGACTTCGGCTTCGTGTCCACGCCGTGGCGACTGACAGCGCAACCTCAGGAGTCCTGACGGTAAAAGTTGTGCAGCGTGGCTTGCATTGTTGCAGCTACAATCGAGCTCCAGACTTTGCGTATCCTTCAGGAGCACGACATGGCCTTTGACGCAGAACGAAGAGCAGCTGCCCCATTTGCACCGTTGGAAACACTTTATGAATCTCACTTGTAAGTGCTGATTATCTCTCTTCTCCCCACCCTAAAGTCTGCCACCTGCACTCGTCAAAAGCATCTTGACTATCCAGCGGCTACTGTATTCTGTTCGGCATGCCAAGCTGGCAAGAGCGTAAACCAGTGGCAAAGCAGCACGGATTTGAATTTGGGGTGGAGCCATCAGAGTTGTGGAAGGCAGTAACATTTACCTCATTGAGCGGCCTAGTGGCTGCCAAGAAGCAACATCGAACTGCGTTGAAAGCAAACAGTGCAAGACTGATTCACAGGCAGTTGCACATGGTCAAGACATCCCCCTGCTGGACCTGCAAAAAGTCCCAGCAGCTCATCGAACCGAACCTTTCGCTTCTTCACACGCTTGCTGTGGAAACGCGACACGGGGATCAGACTGTTTCGCGGCACGGTAGGTCGGGAAGCGTCTCAGATTATTAGGGTATGCTTATTTTCCCCGAGGTGCGCCTCTGCTAGGATGAAAGAGAAAGGCTGCGTTTTCCAAACACTTGTTTGCGGGAGACGTCGGTGAAAGTGTTGAGCAGGCTTCGGGGGTCACCACTCTAAACAGATGGTCACTCCATGGCACATGATCTGCAGAAAGGCACGGAATGTGGATGCAGAGATAGAGGAGAGCAGTTATCTACAAGGCAACGCTTGGGAAGCGGTCTGGGCGTAAACACCTCCATGGACATGGCGTTTGAACGCACACGGTGACCAAGCCCATCGCCAGGGCTTGCAGCTGACCAGGAGCGGGTGTGCTTCTCAGTTCCAGGCTAGTCCAGGGGACGCAAAGGATGTCCGTAGACATGTATGAAGAGAGCCTCAAGGAGAGAAGAACGGAACTGAGGATCGAGTGCAAAACAAGTGGGACATGGCCAAGCGCGGCCCAGGTCACCTCAGTAGCATGGTGCACGGCCTGTAAAAAAGAAGGCCCTTGAGCTGTCAAGCGCTAGGCCAGCCATCCTACCGCTTCGAACTTTCGCCCACCATAGAGTTGACGTCTGCAGAGGCCACGTTGTCCGCAGCCGCCAGAAGAATGATGGAGTGTCCCCCACCCCGCAACCGAGGCCTTGCGGTCTCGTGCTTTCGATGGGATCGTTGGAGATGCAGATGCTTCCGCGGCCGCGGAGGATAACCATGCCAAGATTCCGAAGGGGCGGCCTAGACGACAAGACAGACAGCATGCATTTGGGAATGGTTGTTCCTGTCAGTGACGAGCTGCGCAATCTGAAAAGCTTGGCTGTCCTGACAATTTCTCTGAGCGCTGCCTTTGCAGGAGTTGAGCCGCAGACAACTAGCCAGCCGAGCCCGAGTTCGTGTGGAGTGCCGCGTTAGTGATCGGGTTGTTGGGCGAAGCCCTTCAATGCCCCTCAGTTTCTGAGCTGCACTTGAATCTTGCCAAGATTGTCCTTGATAGCTTTCTCCTGAATATTGCATTCTCAGGTTGGGACACCAACAGCACCTCCTCAGCCGCATCATTGTTGGAGGAGGCCTGATCCCGCGTCCGAGCCGAGTTCAGACTGGACCACCAGCAAACCTCCCACAGGTTCCAGGAACTGTGCCCGGAGCACCTGATTCTGTGCGGCCCGCGCACAGCAACAATCTCAGACTGCGAGAAGGGTCCATTACAACTGACCTTCTGAGTTGATGTCTAGGCTTTAACCTTGCAGTGCACGTGATGCCCCAGAATATCTCTTTGCTGGTCTATGTTTCGGCAGGAGGCCGGCTACATTCCACAGTGGAGGGTTCTGCTAAAACCCTTGCTTTTTCCCGAATGCGTAGCAGAAGGGTTCCCGTTTTAAGGTTGGGGTCCAGGGGTCCAGGAGGCGACGCGAGGTCGTTGCGTTGTGTTCGCAAAGCGTCCGCAAGCGTTCGCAAGCGTTCGCA